TTGACTCAGAGTCTACTGTATCAATAACCCTTTCAGCAACTTCCTTTCCATTTTCAGAAACAGCTACGGAAACTGCCAAAGGTGAGGATGATGATGATGATGACTCTTTCACGCATTCCGGATCTTCTGAATGTGAGATGGTGCCGTTACACAGCGAGGAGGACACACTGGTGTCATTTGCTTCCACCACAGAACTCTCAACAGAGCCATTTTGGCTAGATTCTGTGTTCAGTGCATCTGTTTTCTTCTCATCTTGAACTTCTTCGCATCGAAGACTTGGTGGTCTGGTCTGAACCCTGCACCAACAACACATCAGAAATCATAATCTGTTAAAAAGCTAGTTCACTTAGCAAATTCACAAACTCAGGCAAAAGGATATACATATTCTTCTTGACAAGTGAAAGGATTTACCTGCTGTAGAGGAGCATGTATGCTCGTTGAGAAAGGACATCTTCTAGTTCAACGTTTTCCACCTGCAAGTAATTTTAGTCGGGATTAGAATTTTTTCTCACAATCACATTCTGGTTCATGTTAACACTTCGTAATAGGCAAATCAAACAACAGGAGTTGGAGAAAGATGATTCATACCTCAGAGTCGTCTATTCGATACCAGTTTCCACGGAAGTCCTTAACATAGCATATGTAATGGCCGAAAAATGAGGCATTCAACATATCTAAATGGACAATCACAGCGTAGAGTTTGTATACATCTGATCCTTCTCCTCCACTGGTCATGTAAGGGCCAAGGTCAAATGTCTCCGGAAAACTAATCCTTTTGTTCAGTTTACCGAATCTCCCGCCCTGCACCATAATATTGTCAGAAGAATAAGCAAAAGCAAAGAGACTAGCTAAAAGCACAAGGGAGGGAGGGGAATGGAGCTAAAACCTGGAATCTCTTTAAAGTAATAGTAAGAATATTTGGAGCACAACGAACTGAAAGGCGCTTACATGCCTTCACATAGTCATTACATCTGGAAAAGAGAGAATAAAATTTGAGAAACACTCTCCATTCACAGGACGAGCAAGTCAACCAATTAAGGAAAACTATGGCTTCAGAAGGAATATAAAATACCTATCACATTTGTATAAGTTATCTCCCTGAAGCCACTCTTTAGCGGTGAACTGATCGAGACACTCCTCCAATGATACCGCATCCCCGTGGATCTCAACAGTTAGATCCATCATATTTTCATATTGGTCAGAAACATTACTGCAAACAGTACACTGGACCTGCAAAAAGTTAAATGAAAAACTTAGAAAATGAGAGGAAAGATTACAAATACAGCGCAAGACCTGTTACTGAGATCAGGAAACATCACCTGTGACTGAAGGAGACCGCCAAATATATATTGAATAAGTGTTGTTTCTTGGACACGAGGAGGCACCACTTTTTCTCCACCAAATTCGTCCAGGCAAACAGATTGCATCATGTCAATTACAAACCTAAGTCACAAGAATGTGAAAAGCATTAGCTGAAAGATTGACATACACTCCACTTGCTAAACTTTACACCAACGAGTAACGGTTGCTGACCTCATCAACTCATGAGCATCCTCCTGTCTCCCATACCCGAGATTTCCACCAATATTAGGCAACCGAGAAATAATATTCATCGGTGAAAAAGGAAACCGGCTTTGGTTTGCTCTCTCAAGATGAGTCTCGAACTCACAGAAAAAGCACCAATCATTGCGCCTACCTGTCAAACAAAACACAGAAGCAAAGTTGAAATCCATACATAAAACCCAATACAGGGACTTGTAAAGCATTAAATTCCCTTGACAGAAACTTACATTCTCTCTTGTGGCCTCTCTCCAGTAGGTATGCAACGAGAGGGCGTGTCCAGGAGAGGCATTGTAGAACCACATTAGCGAAACAACTGAAAGAGGATTGACGTAAAAGCAAAAGAAGAATCAAATTTAAGTGAAAAAAAAAACAGTTGATGCTTTACTTCTTTAAAGCTACATTATAAACCGGATGAACAAAAACCTGTTTCCACAATTGGTGAGCCCACAAGGAGCCAATTTTGGTTCGTCCCAGTAAAAATATTTAACAAATTGTTCATATGGGAAAAGAACCTGCATTAAGATACAAACAGAATCAGATTTCCACATTCAAAACCAAACAAGAAGAGTGGCAACATCAGATGAGTAAAAGAAGACACATTACATCTCCTGGTTTGAGGCTAGCCTTGCTTTGGCTCAGCTGAGGAGCCAATGCAAGCTTAGAAGCAGATCTGTTCCCAAACAGAGAAGATTTGAAATTGAGCTTGTCTTTCCCCACAGGTGATGAGTCGGTAACCCGAAACAACTTGCATTTCCGGTTATGTCCCGAGCTCCAGTCTGACTTTTGGCACTCCGCAGAGCTGGACACAAAGTAAACGAATTTAAAAAAAAAAACAGATGCAAAACCTTAAAAATCGAAACTTTCAAAAGCAAAATTGATCTGTAAACGTTCAATTTCTATCTCCAGCTACGTCTAATTCAAATCAACAAACCCTAATTCAACAACACATACACTTAATTCTTAAAAATCAAAACTTTCAAAAGCAAGTTGTTCTGTAGAAGCAAAAAAATCATGGAAACTAACTTTGAGAAGCAGGAGCTAAGCAATTAGTAACGACAATGTTCAATTTCTAAATTCAGCTACGTCGAAATCAAATCCAGAAACCCTAATTCGAATCAATGGCTTTTGACAGAGAAGGAAGAGGTGATTACCAGTATCGAACGGATTTGCAACGAGAGCACTTCTTGGTGGAGAGCTTCCCACAGACAGCGCATTCGGTGGCAGTCTCGGGAACCATGAAATCTCGGCGGTGGTTGGTGTCGAAACCACCGGAGGAGCCGAGCTCGAAGTACTTGGCGGCCGTTCGTTTGACAAAGTAGAGGAGACCGAGGGAGAGGAAGAAGAGCGTTAAGATGAGCTGAGTGAAGAAATTGAGATCCACCGGTAATCCAACCTCATGCATCTAATTCCCCGTCTCTCTCGAACATCGATCTCCGAAGCTTTGGCTTCTTCTTCTTTCTCAGATTCGATTCGGAGATGCCAAAGAAATGAAGAATCTCCTCTGCTTTTTTTTTTTTGGTTTTGTTTCTCTCTCTGTGTTTAGAGTAAGATAACGAGAATGGGCCTCTTAAATCTTGTTATTACAGTCACACACAAGGGACCTTACCTAGTTACCTTAATTATTGTTCTTTTTTTTTTGTAATAAATCAAATAGATTTTTATATATAACTATTATTTCCTTTTAAAATTTATATACATGATATTCTCGATTTTTGTTTCTATTTGTGAAAGTAAATAGATTTATAGATATCTATTTTTTTCCTTTTTTTTTTAATAAATTGTACAAGATTTCAAAAAATCATTTAAATTTACATTTTATAATATTCTTATATTAGATTTTCATATGCGGAAAGATATCTTTTTAACTTAAATTTTGAGAAAGATTTATTTTTATTAGAGAAACATTACTTTTCTAAATTTCAAATAGAAGAAAAGTAATATGTATATTTCTTCTAGAGAAATTTAGAAAAGTAATGTTTAAAAGTGGAAACTTGTAAGGATTATTTTTTAAATAATACATGAATATAAGGAAAAACAAAAATGAAAAAAAAAAACAGAAAGTTTTCACAAGTGGCAAAAATGTGTGAATGGAAAACGAAAGGGGAAAATTATTGAGGGAGGAGGAAGAAAGAAATAGACAAAGATTTCTCTCGTTGACATACAAAAAAAAATAGATAATGACATTTTTCTCTCTTTTGAACATGTTTAAATGGAGCTCACATGATGCTTTATTCGTTGCTCTTATTGGTGGGTTATTGTTTTTTTTTGGGTGAGATGTTGAGATTTCATGAAATCAGAGAGTATCCTCAACTAAAGTTAATCTAAAACATTCACATGATCTCACACCATAAGGCCAATAAGTCTCACTCGGATCCTACAACACACTCAAAATAACGTACAACTAAAGTTAAGTCAAATCTTAACCACAAATAAAGCCAAGCATTGATTCATATCAATTTCTCTTTGGCACCAACACAAGCTGAAACATTAAACAACTCAGAAACAGTTTCACTTGGTCTATGGGTTCACTTTGGAGCATAACCTTTTTTTTTTTTATTGGTAAGACTTAAGGACGCAAGGACACCTTGGAGCAGAACTTTAGGACACAACTTTTGTCTTCTTTTGTCAAAACGAAACCATCTGTTGAATCAATTCTCTATTGAAACCTAGGTTGAAGGTCGAAGTGACTGTGAAAGAGAGTGTGGGAGACCTACTGGCTATGACCGTGGGTCTGATTCACGTGCAACTCACGAGGTATGAATATGATGCAAAACTGGTGGTGGTTTAAGTTCCAAACATGGACTAGAGAAGCTTCTTCCTTTGTCTTTTGTTATGGAAACATTTGCGTCTAAGCAGAACATTACAAAGAGGACAAAAGCTGTTACATAGTGTTTCAGCAACGAACCTGTGGAGCGAAATCTATGACAGAGTGAAAATGATGCTATTTTCGAGTACATAAACAGTTGGGAAAGACTAAAACATCAACATGATTGTGGTAAGAAAAGGTACTTCTTTTGAAAACCTCTTATTGAAAATATGAAGAACTTTGGTCAAACACATGAGGGTTTGATACCAAGAGCACAAACCAGAGACGGCTCTGAGTGTTGACAAGATAGTTTAGAAGAACTTGATTATATTCCTACTAGAATCGCTGCTTTCTCAACATTTACGGAATGTCATAAGAAAAAATTCTAATAAAAGACAAAAACCAAGAGATAAGTGCAGGGATCCAAAGTAAGATATATGGCTTAGTGCTCAACCCGGAGAGCCACCACTGGAGATGTGCTGAGGACTTTCACACGATTCTCTCTAGAGGGTCTCCAACCTTTGCGGCCGTCTTCCCCTCTCCCTGTATCTACTCCATATTTATAGGAGTATGTTCCACTGACAACATCTGTGAATTCCATTGAGTTCCCGCTCATACCACAACCATCGGGAAGCTCTTTAGCCGAGCAGCAGAAATTTCCAAAAACTCCTCCACTAATAAACAAGACACGGTCTCCTACATGGGTGACCACGACCCATTTACCAGCCTCCTCATCTAGCCTACTCACTCTTAATGTTAACTGGCTACCGTTTTGCTCAACCAGGAAAAGTTCATCATTGCCAGATGGAACTAGATGGTTATAAATATCTTGATGCGGGGAGTGCATCAACTTAGTCACGTCCAGGGAATAAGGGTCGATAACCACACTTGTTCCGTTAAAAAAGGATGCATAGAATCTGCCTCTAAAAGTGACTAAACTACTGCATGTGCTCCTTGGAGGCTTCTCAAGGAGCTTCCACTTCATTTCGACACTTGTTAAAACAAACAAAACTCCTCCGTAGTTGAGAAGCACAACGAATTCTCTTCCTCCCAGCGGAAGGAAAGCCACGACTTTGTAATAACTAGGATTGCTATCGAAGATTCTGTACTGATGGCCCATAGGGATGATCTGGCAGTCGAGCATGTTCACCAAGGTTTGATCAGATGATCCTGGGATCTTCACTGAACATTGAAGAGGAGGTGGATGCTCTATATGATCCTCTGGCTCATCTCTACGGCCTATTCCTCCCAGAAAATACTCAGAAGCCGACCCAGAAAGAGTAAGGACTCTAAAGAGAAACAAAGGAATCTTCTTGAGGGTGGCCGAGCATTTGTAAGGGAGTGATGCGAACGAGATAAGAGAGTAGCGTGGGCTTAGCAGGCTACAAGGAAAGGGCATTGTGGATCGCCACAAGCTGCAAACAGAGCGAGCATGAATGACGTCGAAACAGTTGTCCAGTTTCTCGGAGATAAACTCAAGTAGCTCTTCCGGGAGCTGAGTCCAGTCTGGCACATGCATCGATGATGATGTTGATGTCTTCTTTTTCGTTGTAGGTCTGCTAATAGCGATGGAAACCACTTGCAATTTCGAGATGATCTGAAAGAAAAAATTTAAGCTTCTAGGGTTTAGGAAATTCTAAAAGACAAAACATGAAGAGAGAAGATTAATCCGAATAGAGGACACGGAATGCACAATCTTATAAAGGACAATTGCTAATAGGTGAAGCTTCTAGGGTTTATGAACTCTATATTTTTACTTTTTCCTTGAGAAAAAAATAGACATCTCTATTATAGAGGTGGATTGGAGAGAAATTCACCTCTGTTTTGGAATCTTACTATTATGAGAAAATTGCAAATTTACCCCAAAAAAGGCATTTCTTGTCCCACTACACCTTTCCATCTTGTTGTTGTCTTAATACACTTTTTTTAAAATAATTTGGACATTTTTGACCTTCAAATTGAATTGGTAATGTGTTTGGAGAAATCCTCTAAAACCATCGCTTTTAGGTCGTCAAACCTAGTATTAGATTCCACACAAACTACTCTTCCTCCTTTCCTCTCATCAGCAACAAATATCCACCCATTAATTTGACACCTCTTCCATGAACCACATACTACATAGATTTGGATTTGAACCATATTGGATAGAGAGAAAGAGGACTACAGAGGAGGAAGGGGATGAAGAAGATGAGGAAGAAGATCATGGAGGATTATTTTCGGATAGTTGGATGAAAATAAGGAAACAAAGATTTGAAAAATATTTTTTTGCAATATTCTCTCGATTTTTGCAGATGATGAACTCTACACAATGTAGAACTAACCTATTTAGTAGAACATCCTGTGAAAACACGAATACTACGCCTTGCAGAAAAACATGAAATATGTAGTACACGAAAACTATGACTGGTAGATAGCAGTGTTTACCGTAGAATTTAGAATCTACGAGTAGTAGCGGATGGTGTATTCTGTAGAATATTTTTGGAGCGAATTCTACAAAATGGTAGAGTGTATTGTATATGGTAGATATCGAAGTCTAATCCGGAAGATGAATGAAGAAATTGTAGATATCATATCCTACGACGGTTAGACTTGCGAATAACTTGTAGAAAGCGTATTCTGCTTTGATATTTTACTTTGTAGAACCAAAACTTCAAAGAATTTTTTAACCATCCAAAACATTTTTAAAAATATTCAAATATTTTACACATTCTTTAGATCATTTATAGGACTTTTAGAAATTGTGTTCACTTAAAAAAATATTCATTATCATGTTTAAACAATATTGAAGGGCAATTATGGAAAAAAATGGCCAAAGTCAAAAAAGGAGTAATAGGACAAGAAAGGCCTTTTTTTGGGGTACTTTGCCAATTTCCCCTACTAATCAATATTTATATATATATAATATAATATATATATATATATATTCGGGTTTAGGTTTGTTGTTTCTGGTTTGATTTCACATGTCTCATTTTTTTGGTTAGATGAGCTCAAGTAAGTTTTACTACGTTTCTAAAGTTTGGTGTGAAAAAGATTTAACAGCAAATCTGGGTAGCAAAAGCTATGTCAGAGTGAAAAAGATGCTATTTTCGAGTGCATAAACAGTCGGGAAAGACTAAAACATCAACGTGATTGTGGTAAGAAAAGGTTCTTCTTTTGAAAAAATCTTACTGAAAATATGAAGAGAAGAACTTTGGTCAAACACATGAGGGTTTGATACCAAGAACACAAACCAGAGACGGCTTTCGAGTGATGACAAGATGGTTTGTTAACTTCATTATATTCAAACTAGAATACCAGCTTTCAACATATCACCTGAAGGTCCTGAACGTCATACATCACAAAATCTTTACCTTAATATCATAAAAGATAAAAACGAACAGATTCGTGCAGGGATCCAAAGTAAGATTCATGGAATAGTGCGCTCAACCCGGAGAGCCACCACTGGAGATGTGCTGAGGATTCTCACAGTTTGATCTCTTGAGTGTCCCCACCAATTGAGGTCGTCTTCCGCTATCCATGTATCTACTCCACATTTAAAGGTGTATATTACACTGCCGAGATCGGTGAACACAATCGAGCTCCCGCTCAGACCACAACCTTGAGGAAGCTCTTCAGCCGAGCAGCAGACGTTTCCCAAATGTTCTCGATTAATAAACAAGACACGGTCTCCCACATGGGTGACCACGACCCATTGACCAGCCTCCTCATCAAGCGAGTCACGTCCAGCGAACAGGGATCGATAGCCACACTTCCCCCTCGGAAAGATGCATAAAATCTACATCTAAAAGTGACTAGATCCCAGCATGGAGCATCTGGGACGTTCTTCAGCTTCTTCCACCTCATTTCGGAACTTGTTAATACCCACAAAACACGAGAGTCGATAAGAAGCACAACGAATTCTTCCTTATTTAGTGGGGAAAAAGCCACGCTTCTGTAAACTTTAGGATCCCAAGCGAACATTCTGTACCGATAACCCAGACTCAGAGAGAGAATCTGACAGTCGAGCATGTTCATCAAGGTTGCCTCAGATTCTCCGATCGTCACTTTCACTGAGCACTGAATAGGAGGTGGAAGCTCTGTTTGATCCTCTGCCTCATCTCTAGAGCCTTGGACAATTCCTCCCAAGTAAAACTCAGAAGCCGACGCAGCATCATCAAGAGCACGGACTCTAAAGAGGAACAAAGGGATCTTCTTGAGGGTGCACAAGCCTTCGTTTTCTAGAGAGAACTCATTGAACGTGGGAAGAGAGTAACTTGGCGATAGTAGGCTACAAGGAAAGGCAAATGTGGATCGCCAAGAGCTGCAAACAGAGCGAGCATGAACTACATCGAAACAGTTGTCCAGATTCCCGGAGATAACTTGAAGCAGCTCTTCAGGGAGAAGAGACCAGTCTGGCAACAACGATGATGATGTCTTCTTTTTCGTTGCAGGTTCTGCCATTTTTCGCTGATGAAGCCAGAAACATATACAATCTCGAAATCTGAAAGGAATTCACAATTCTACGGATTTAGGAAAACTGTAAACAGACAATAATAATAGTACCATATCAAAGAGCCAACCACACACTTGGATCAGAAGCTCGCAATGCACATTTGAGAGAACCACTTAGCAATTTAGCTGAAACAAGTCTTGATAGTGGAGAAACCACTTAACTGAGAGAACATAGGAAAAATTGAAGCATTGAAACAACTACTAAATCAACAACATTAAAAGCACTGCTAAAGTATAAAGGTGACATTTTTGCAGAATTAAGCTAGAACCCAGAAGATTTCTCTAAGAACCTAAACTCAAATTACGCAATAGAGCTTCGAGGAAACATACCTGTCGCAATCAAAAGAAAATTGACGGCGAAAGAAAGGATCTGAAGTTGTGGGAGAAGATATGACCCCGAAAAATATTTCATCATTTCACCGAGAAAAAAATACAGTGAATTTTCCGATTTGGGTGATGGGGAAGAAAGAAACGACATCGTTTCTGCAAAAAGGGAAACGACTTCGTTTTTGGGTAGCTTCGCCATTCTAATATATTCCGGTTCACGGATTCGGTTTCATCCGCTTTGGTTTTGCATGGGCTTATGCTCGTTGGTCTTCTAAACTTGTTGCTTTTTGTAATGCCCTTTACGTCATTTGTCTCTCTCTATTCTCTGATTTTCCGAGTACATATGTACAGTCTTTCAAACTAGTAGCCATGCATCTGCTGCAGATGGAGTATAACAAGTTCGAGTTTTTCATATGATTTTAAGAAGAAAATATTATTGTTGAAAGTTTGAAAAACTTTGGTCAAACTCTTGAACGTTTGATACCAATAGCACAACCAGAGACGGCTTTGGAGTGTTGATAAGAACACAACTAGTTAAATTCCATATAGTCACTGTCTTGACAACATTGTTTAAGACTTAGTTATACTCAAACTAAGTCTATTCCAGAGAGTTTCTTGTCTGTTTCCCAAATCAGACAGCTCCAATATGATGATTTTCCTATTTGCTTCAACTACAACATTACAAGACACAACAAAGACGGAAACAAGTGCAGCTTTAACTTCCTTCAACGAGCAGATACATAGTCTTTCAAACTAGTAGCCTTGCATCTGCTGCAGATGAAGTATAACAAGTTCGAGTTTTTCATATAATTTTAAGAAGAAAATACCATTATTGAAAAATTTGAAGAACTTTGGTCAAACTCATGAACGTTTGATACCAAGAGCACAACCAGAGAGAGCTTTGGAGTGTTGATAAGACAACTAGTTAAATTCCATATAGTCACTGTCTTGACAAGACTGTTAAAAACTTAGTTATATTAAAACTAGAATACCATGTGATCTTGCTTTCATCATATCACCCGAACATCATAGATCACGAAATCTTTACCTAAAATCATAATTTTTTTTTTTTTTTTTGAGTATCCAAAGTAAGATATATGGCTTAGTGCTCAACCCGGAGAGCCACCACTGGAGATGTGCTGAGGACTTTCACACGACTCTCTCTAGAGGGTCTCCAACCTTTGCGGCCGTCTTCCCCTCTCCCTGTATCTACTCCATATTTATAGGAGTATGTTCCACCGACATAATCGGTGAACACAATTGAGTTCCCGCTCACACCACAACCATCGGGAAGCTCTTTAGCCGAGCAGCATACATTTCCCAAAACACCTCCACTAATAAACAAAACACGGTCTCCTACCTCGGAGATCTCGACCCATTTACCAGCCTCCTCGTCTAGCCTACTCACTCTATATGTTGAGTGGCTAGCGAATCTATGAACCAGGAAAAGGTCATCATTGCCAGATGGAACCAGATAGTGTGATATCTCTCGATTCTGCGAGTGCATCAAGAGAGTCACGTCCAGGGAATAAGGATCGATAACCACACTTGTTCCGTTACGAAAGGATGCATAGAATCTGCCTCTAAAAGTGACTACATCCCGACATATTTCACTTTTTGGAACGTTCTTCAGCCGCTTCCACTTCATTTCGGCACTTGTTTGCACATACAAAACATAACCGTAGTGGAGAAGCACAACAAATTCTCTTCCTCCCTCCTTCTTTAGCGGAAGGAAAGCCACGCCTCTGTAATAACTAGGATTGCAACCGATCAGTCTGTACTGATGGCCCAGAGGGAGGATCTCGCAGTCGAGCATGTTCATCAACCTTGGATCAGATTCTCCTATCTTCACTTTCACTGAACACTGAATAGGAGATGGAAGCTCTGTTTGATCCTCTGCCTCATCTCTACAGCCTATTCCTCCCAGAAAATACTCAGAAGACGACGCAGAAAGAGTAGGGACAATAAAGAGAAACAAAGGGATCTTCTTGAGGGTGCCCAAGCCTTTGTAAAAGAAAGATCCGGACGAGGGAAGAGAGTAACTCGGGCGCACTAGGCTACAAGGAAAGGGTATTGAGGATCGCCACGAGCTGCAAACAGAGCGAGCATGAACTACATCGAAACAGTTGTCCAGTTTCTCCGAGATAACTTGAAGCAGCTCTTCAGGGAGCTGAGTCCAGTCTGGCACATGCATATCGATGATGATGTCTTCTTTTTCGTTGTAGGTCTGCTAATAGCGATGGAAACCACTGCAATTTCGAGATGATCTGAAAGAAAAAAGTTAAGCTTCTAGGGTTTAGGAAATTGTAAAAGACAAAACATGAAGAGAGAAGATTAATCGCATAACAATCTTACTATCTAAAACTAATCCGAATTGACGACACTGGATGCATAATCACAGACTTACAATAGCAGGATTTGTCAACAAAGACTGATTGAGAGACCGTGGCTGTGGTACCAAAACCCTAAAGTCACAGAAAACGGCTGGTATGTAATGTAAACGATCCTTTTAATTAAGAAAGGAAACTAGAAGACGGGTCCGGTTATGTAACTCTATATATTCGGGTTTAAGTTGTTGTTTCTGGTTTGATTTCACATGTCTCATTTTTTTGTTAGATGTGTTGTTACGTATATATAAGTTTACGCCCTAATTCAACACGGTTTTTAAAGAATTTTAAGTTTTAACTAATTAACTAATATACTTTGTTTGTACAAGCTTGGACGAAAATCTTGTACGTACGTACATATATATGGATGTGTGATACCAAGAGCACGACCAACTGACCAAGAGTAGACAACTTTGTTGACATGCAAGATAAGTTGTAGTATTAAAACTAGAATCACACATATCACCAATGTCAAGGATCCCAAAATGTTAACGTAAAATCAGAAGGAATATTTTTGAATATAATTTGTTTAATGAAAAACAAAAACCAAAATATGTCGCAAGCGCAAGTATCCAAAACAAGATTTATGGCATAGTAGCGCGCTCAACCTGGAGAGCCCTCCACCGGAAATGTGCTGAGGGTTTTCACATGATTCTCTCTTGAGTATCTCCAAAATTTAAAGTTATCATCTCCTCCATATTTATAGAAGCAAGTTATTACACCGCTTAGCTCATTGGTGAACAAAATTGAGTCCCCACTCACACCACAACCATATGGAAGATCCTTAGCCGAGCAGCAGACATTTCCCAAATCTCCATTAATGAACAACACACGGTCTCCTAATTCGGTGACCACAACCCATTTACCAGCCTCCTCATCTAGCCTACTCACTCTTAATGCGAACGGACTCAAAATTGACACGCCAGTATAATAGAGGAATTTCTCAACCAGGAAAAGTTCATCATTGCCTGATGGAACTAGATACTCGCATGAAACAGAGGCAAGAAGCTCCGAGGGCGGCAACAGGGTAGTAGCTTCCAGTGAATAAGGATCGATAACGAATATGTCCCCGTTCATAAATGTTGCGTAAAACCTACCTCTAAAAGTGACTAAATCTTTGCATGAAGCAACTGAGAATCTCTTAAGCCGCATCCATCTCATTTCAGCACTTGTTAGCACAAACAGCCGTTTAGCGTAGTTGAGGAGCACAATGAATTCTCCTCTTCTTCTCTCCTTGTTTAACGGAAGAAAAGTCATGCCTCTATAATCTTGTCTCCAGTTTCCAGGATCCCAACCTATCATTTTGTACTGATGGCCCAAAGGGAAGATATGGCGGTCGAGCATGTTCATCAAGGTTGGATCGATCTTCACTTTCACTGAGCACTGAATAGGAGGAGATGGAAGCTCAACACCATCCTCTGACTTGTCCCGGCCTATTTCTCCCAGGAAAAACTCACAAAGCAACTCAGAAGCTGCAGGAGAAGTTTGGACCATAAAAAGGAACAAAGGGATCTTCTGGATGCACAAGTCTTTGCTTACGCAAGGGAACTCGGCGAACGAGGGAAGACAGTAACTTGGGCGTAATAGGCAAGCAGGAAAGGCAAATGTGGATCGCCACGAGCTGCAAACAGATCGAGCTTGAACAATATCAAAAAAGTTCTCTAGATGTGTCGAGACAACGTGAAGAAGATCTTCAGGGAGAAGAGTCCAGTCTGGCATGGACAATGTCTCTTCTTTCGTTGCACGTTGTGCCATTTTTGTTGATGGAGACAGAGATACTTTTGCAGAAAATTTACAAAATTGTTTCTTAGGACAGCAATCCTCACCATCCACATAACATATACTGTATAAGGCAACTAGTATAAATGATAACTACATAATTTAGGTTAAGAAAATATTTAAATCCATGGTATTCAACATATTTGCAAAGTTCTAACAAATTTAAATTCATTTGACATTTGTGGGGAAATATATACTATATAATGAGAGTTATTTTTTCTTAATGCTATAGAAATATACAACATTATTTAAATGTAGTTAATTCAGAATCTGAAATTTAAAAGTGAATATATGAAATTTTAATATTAAGAGTTAATTAAGAAAGTAAATTCTAAAAGTGTTATCATCAACATAAAAGAATACAGTACTTTATTTCCAATAAAATCAGAATATCAAAATAAATAGAAGATAAGAAGTGATCAGTTAACAATAAAATAAGAGTTGAAAATGAAGAGAATACTCTAGATATATTACTATAGTTTATGTTTACTTAATTAATCATTTCTGAATGTAACACGAATTGCCAAGAAATACTCGACAACATAATCCAATTCCACGAAATTACATTGCTATTGGGTTATAAGAAAGAGATATGATGTTATCTCTCATGTCAAAGATCATTTATGCAAAGTACAACAACGAAGAACAATGCGGACAAACATTAAAAGGATGTCAAATTAGATATATAGCTTCTCAATCACAACCGATGAGAAGAAATTTTATAACAAGATATCACGGTAACTTAAAAAATATGAAAACATCGGAGAACAAGCTTTTGGTCAGACACATAATAAATATGAAAACAAGAGTATCACGGTAACTTAAAAGATGACAAAAAAACTAACAAGAACAGAGACAACAAATGTATCAGGTCTCCAAAGTTACCGTGAAACAGAGACAGTAATGAATATCACAGTAACTTAAAAGATGACAAAAAAACTAACAAGAACAGAGACAACAAATGTATCAGGTCTCCAAAGTTAGATTTTGCTCAACCCTGAGATGATAGGCCATCGGAGAGCTGCTGATGTTCCTCACACAAGTATCTCTTGAGGATCTCCAAAAACTGAGGTCGTCTTCTGCGTTTCCTGTATCTACTCCATATTTATACAAGAAAGATTCACCACGTGGCTCATCAGTGATCAAAATTGAGTTCCTGCTCAAACCACAACCATCAGGAAGCTCTTTAGCCGAGAAGAATACATTTTCAATCTCTCCATGAATAAGCAACACCCGGTCACCTATATCTGTGACCACGACCCATTTACCAGCCTCCTCATCTAGCTTACTCACTCTTAATATTGCCTGACCAAGATAAACTTCACCAGTAGGAGAGGCAATTACTTTAACCTGGAAAAGTTCATCATTTCCAGATGGGACAAGACAGCTTACTATCTCCAGAGGCAGCGACGACGGAATCGTGAGAGTCACGTCCAAAGAATAAGGATCGATAACCAGAACTTCCCCTGGCAAAGATGCATAAAATTTTCCTCTAAAAGCGACTAAATGCCACATAGATGAACCATTTAGGACGTTCTCAAGCCGCTTCCACTTCATTTCAGCACTTGTTAATACCAACAAAACATGAGAGTAGTAGAGAAGCACAACGAATTCATCCTTGTTTAGTGGAAGGACAGCCATGCGTATGTATCCTTCAGGTTCCCATTCGAACATTCTGTAGTCATAGCCCAGAGAGAGAATCTGACAGTCGAGCATGTTCACCAAGGTTGGCTCAGAATCAGATGATCCTGGGATCTTCACTGAACACTGAAGAGGAGGTGGAAGCTCTGTATGATCCTCTGACTCATCTCTACGGTCTATTGCTCCCACGAAAAACTCAGAACCCGACGCAGCATCATCAAGAGTACGGACTCTGAAGAGGAACAAAGGGATCTTCTCGAGGGTGCACAAGTCTTCGCTTTCGTAAGGCAACTCGGCGAAAGAGGGAAGAGAGTAACTTGGTCGTAATAGGCAAGCGGGAAATGGAAATGTGGATCGCCACGCGCTGCAAACAGAGCGAGCATGAACTACATCGAAACAGTTCTCCAGTTTCTCGGAGATCACTTGAAGCAGATCATCAGGGAGAAGAGACCAGTCTGGCATGGACAATGTGTGCTCTTTTGTTGCCATTTTTGCTGACGGAGACGGAGACAGCTGCAGTTTCGAAACCTAAAGAAAAATTACCATTTTCTAGGGTTAACTTAACGAAATAATACAAGAAACAGAGAAATCAAATCATATTTCTGCACTCAAAGTCTTACAAAATCCTCGAGAAGAGAGCAGTCTAGCACCACGGATGATGTCTTCTTCTCCGTTTCAGGTTCTGCCATTTTTGCCGATTGCTGCGATTTCCGAAAAATCTGAAAGTTAATATTAAGCTTCTAGGGTTTAGGAAACTGTAAACAAACATGATCCGAGAAATATTTTCTCATAAAAATCCATTTCCAGAAGTATATAAAAGAAATAGGTTTTTCAAATTCGTATCGGAAGGGAGAGACTTTTGAGTTCCGTAACAGTGAAGAAAAGATGTCAAACAACTTCGTCGTCTCCTTTTATTTTTTTTCTTGTCTGTTCAAAAAAACTGAAAACCTAACCGCCTGTCCGATGTTAAAAAGTGGATTTTGGGAGTGCTTCTGTCTAAAACGGAGGAGGGTTTTGTTTAATCTCAAAGTTGTTATGTGGTGGTTTTTGTGAGATTTTAAGATTTCTTGCAACTAGAGAATCTCAAACTAAAGTTACTTCAACATTCACAAGTCTCACAACATAGGACAATAATACATTTGAGACTTCACTAGTTAAGCCAACTGTTAAATCTTTAGCAAAACAATCATAGATTCATTTTAATTCGTTTTTGGCACTTGCATTACACTTAGACACAGATTCAATTGGTCTCTGATTTCACCTTAGAGCAGAACTTAAGGACACACATTTAAATTCAATTGACATTTGTGGGGAAATATCTATACTATCTAATGAAAGTTTTATTTTTTATTTTTTTTTTTATATTTTTTTTAAGGCTAGAGAAATATACAACATTATTTAAATGCAGTTAATTCAGAATCTGCAATTTAAAAGTGAATATATGAAATTTTAATAGTAAGAGTTTAAGATTTAATTAAGAGAGTAAATTCTAAAAATGTTATCAACATAAAGGAATAATGTACTTTATTTCCAATAAAATCAGAATATTAAAATAAATGGAAAATAAGAAGTGATCAGTTAACAATAAAATAAGAGTTGAAAAGAATACTCTAGATATATTATAGGTCATGTTTACTTAATTAATAATTTCTGAATATAT